ATGAAGGTCTCACATTGAATCTGTTCTGAAAAAGTAACAGTGTCATTTGCAGACTTTATTCCTTCTAGCTTCTGTTGTTCCGGTCCTTTTTTCTCTCCTGAACACTTCAAATGGGAGACAACCAAGAATGGTGATGTCTTTACATCTCGGATCTAAGCTGCTTTTGATCTAATCATCAAAGGTCTTTGTGAATTCTACAATTTCAGGTGGAGAATTTGATAGTGTTGATGGTATTACAGGAGAACAATATGCCAATCTTTGAATTTGTACACTGTTTGAGAAGGTGTGTGTGTGTGTGTGTGTGTGTGTGTGTGTGTGTGTGTGTGTGTGTGTGTGGGTGTCTCTGTGTGTATTTTATATTTATTTGTATGTGTCTCGTTTGCATAATGATCAATTAGAATCTTGGAGCTGACGGATACCTTGAACCACTTCCAGAACCAGAACAGTGAGAAGGATGTGAGCTTTCACACCATGCGTGTAAATCTGGAGAAGATGGTAGGACACTGGTGGAGGCAAATACATGGGCAGTAATAAGGGCTAAAATTGGTTTGAGTCTGTACTGCAGGCTTGATGAACTCCACAACTTCCTAGTCTAGAGGGCTGCAATCTGGGGAATGTCAGACTTGCCCCATGCATGTTACTTATCTAACCTAAATGCTTTCCTGCTTAGGAGATGATGAGGGCAGAGGATAGAGCAGAGATGGCAGGAGTTCGCGCTGAGGTTCAAGCCCTGCAACACATTTTATACCAAATACATCAGGTCAGTACAACATGACATAGGCTGTAGCATGCAGTAGTTCTAGATCTCAGTTCCAATTTTTTTGCTGATTGTTTTTTTCCCCCTTGTTCATATCTACAATGGACGCAACAAGACTTTTGTATGAACGGTTTATGTTCCCAGAGGGACCAACATTCGCAGAAGAACATCTATGTCTTATATCAGCGCATTTTTTATAGAAATACTAATGGACGGAGCTGTTTATGGATCAATTTTAAAGTTTATTCAGCAGTGGGAGCCGTCAGTACTGTCACAAGTTAATAACGAAACAAAGGAAGCTTCACAGTTCTCATGTGACGTCACACTTCCATGAACTTTGTAACTGACAGCCATCTTGGTAGGCAGTTGCTATGACAACAATAAACAGCCACAAGTTTAGAACTAGCTAAACTTGTAACTTTATAGGTTGCCTATTTCCTATCCAACCTATAAAAAATATGAGTGCATTACAATTATTACTCAATTACAATTTTTGAGTATTCTACCCACCTATGTGTAATACTAACTTAAAAATTTATATTTACTGTAGTACTCACTGACAAACTACCTTCTTCAGGCTAAGACAGACATGTGGCCCAGATGTGTGTTGCTAGATGTACTTACTCCGCGCCCTTACACTCCTTCACCTCGCGCACATAACGGGGTAAATGTAGCGAGTTTTACCTTTCACGTGTCTTCATCTCGGGGAGCGCCGATTTATGTTTTCGCATCCACCTGAATAATATGTAGTTGCGCCCCTGTGTGTGAATGCTTCAAACCTTTTATTTTATTTTTAAAGAAGATTATGTTTTTTTGTAACATCATTTTTTTTTATTCTTCTAAACTTCCAGTTGGTTCAGGGTGAGAACTCTGACTCTGAAAGTATGCCCGCCTCACTTCCCCATGGCAGGTTTCCGTCAGGAAACAGCACCTTCATGGCTGTACAGAATGTACTTTCTAAGCATCTGAAAGAATCTCAGGTATCACAAATTCATGCTCTATAAAAATGTTGTGTCAATCCTTCTTACTAATGATGATTCATTCACATACAAACACAGGAGGTGCATGCCCGTTTGACAAAAGCTCTGGAGCAGGTGGACACATTTAAAGAGCAACTTCAGCAGAAGGATGATGAGAGGACCGAGTTGGAGCAGATGATCCAGGAAATACAAAAAAAACATCAAGAGACTGAAAAAGCTCTAGAGGAAAGCCTTGAAGAAAGTAACCAAAGACTCTGCACACTGGAGCTCCTCTCCAGGTAAACTTTTATAAAGCAGCTTTTCCTTTTTATTACCCACAGGATTCCATGAGTATTTGCAAGAAAAAAAATACACACAAAAAAAACTAGTGTTGCACATATTGTACAGCTTTGCAAAAAGGCATATATCTTAATCTTGTCCTCTGTGACCCCGGATTACTTCATTCTTTTGTTTTCCTCTGCCTCCTTCGTTCTGCATGTCCCACAGTGAGAGAGGGAGACTGGAGAAGCTGCGTTCTGGGCTGCAGCAGGAGGTGGACTCCCAGCGAGCGGAGCTGGATGTACTGAGGAGTTCGTCACTGGACCTCCAGAGACAACGAGACCTCCTGAGGCAGCAGAGGGAGGACCTGGAAACGCAGCTGTCACGCCAGCACTCCGAAGTCTGCAGAGGGTACATTTGAGTTCAAACAATGACCTTTGCATAACAAACATCCTGTCAAGCCCAATTGATTTCACGCGTCATGTTGTTCAAACTCAGATCGCTAACACATGTCAGAAAGTTGACATTCTAAATGATTTTTATAGCAACGCTTCTCCTACAAGGTAGGCTTTCTCATACAGTATTTTCATGATATATTTTAAAAAAATGTTAGATTATCCAAAGATATGTAATGAAATAAAAACAAGAGTTTGGCATAAGTCAACACGATTTCTCAATTTTCTTAGGTGGAGATATTTCAAGGTTTTGGGATTTTGGGAGTTGCTGGAAACACAGCAAGCTGGAAAAGACCTGTGTCAATTAGCAAGACGAGAGAGATTGAGTTGAAAAGGACATGCTGCAAGTTAGTGATTAAGGATGGTGATGAAATGCATTAAGAGGTGAGGACAGTGTTGAGACGATGGGAGGAGTACGTTCAGAAGCTGATGAATGAAGGAAAGTGAGAAAGAAAAGAAGACAGGTTGAGGGAATGGAGTGAAACAAAAGGCACATGAGGACAGGATGAAAATTGGAGAGGTGGATGTGGAAACCAGTTGAAGATGGGTTTAAAACAGACGTGATCAGAGGTGGGCAGCAATGAAGTGAATTTAGTACTTATGTACTGTTTTAGAGAATTTGTACTTTACTTGAGTAGAATTTGTTATTGGAAAACTTAAAAGTTCATTGCATTTTGAAATCAAAATCATACTTTCTACTTTCATTGCTTTCAATGCTTTGTTGAGAGTTTGTGTATTTTGCGTCTATTTTGTTCCATCGACACAATGTAAAATGACACACTACACCCCTCTATGGTAGGTGGCGATACGCAGCTTGAAACCGGTTTCGAGAAGAAGAACAAGAATCCTTTGTGTCCTACTAGTGTTGCCTTATTGGTAGCGTTTTAGATGCTCAAAGTGTCTGAAAAAGAAAAGCTAGAAAAGTATAAGCCTGCTGCATTATTCTTGATGATCTGTGATCTTTCTACTATAGCAGAATATTTTCTCAGTTATTCTCGACTGCACTCCCATGAAATGCATTATCAAAAAACTTCAAATTTTTACGTTTAGAGGATGTATAACAGCAGAGCTTAAGTAGAAAAATCAAAAACTTAGAGTATGACTACTTCAACATATGTTTTACTCAAGTATAAGTAAAAGTAGTTGTCCAAGAAATTACTTAAGAATAAAACAGTATTTGGTAAAAAGGCAACTCAAGTATTGAGTAGCTGATCAAATCATAAATTCCTTAATATTTAAAAATTACATCATCAGATGGACCAAAATGTAAAGTTAATGTTGGTGTTTTAAAGACCAAAATGAAAATAATTTATAGAAATAAAATAATTACAAAATAAAAAAATCAGGCAAAAGAAAAATTTTCAAAATCAATTTCTTCATAAACAAATTTTATGAAACCTTTAACAACAACTGGTGAATGTTTGGGTTAAAACAAGCTTGTTCTTCATTAACTGAAATTACTCACAATGGTTAGTGTATCCAGAAATTTTACTCTAATAAAAGTAGCGACGCTTAGTATTCATAATAAAATTACTCAACCAAAAGTATAAAGTACAGAGTTGAAAAATTACTCACAAAAGTAGATTTTCCCTCCAAAAATTACTCGAGTAACTGTATCTGAGTAAATGGAACTAGTTACTGCCCTTGTCTGGACAGCTGATATATCAGAGTGTGGAGCTGAAAGGAGGAAAAATGGAAGACTGCAGAAAAGTTTCCATGACCAAGAGTCTGACAAGAAAAATAGTGTGAGAATTACATTTTGATATATTTTATATTTCAGGGAAAGAGCTTTACAGGAACTTGAGAGCAAATACTCTGATCTGCGGAGGGAACTGATTACAGTGAAGGAATCTCTGGATCAAATTACTCTGCAGAAGGAGATGTTGGAGGATGACAAAGCCAGCCTTTCTTTGGCTCTAAGCAAGGTAAACTGTTCTGCCCGTGAGAGCGCAATGCTTACCTTCGATATATATTTGTGGCTCTTGGAAGTTTGCGTGACTGTGGTAAGAATGATTGACTCCACAGATGGAGTGTCACAGTGCTGCACAGGAGAGCCTTCTGATCAAACTGCAGAGTCAGCATTCTACCCTTAAAGATTCTCTCATTAAACTGGCTGCTCTTAGCGAAGGTCTCGCCAAAGACAAGGTGGAGCTTAATCGCATTGTTCTTCAGGTCAGTCTCTGTGGATTTTCACAAATATATCAATGAGCGGCAGCTCGAACAAAGCGAAATTTCCATCTCTTTCAGACTGAAGGCGAGAAAATGGAGCTCAGCGAACGCAGATGTGAAGCTGAAGGGAAGCGAGCGGCAGCCAGAGAGGACGCGGCGCGAGTGCAGAAGGAGATGATGAACTTGCTTGCTGAAAAACAAGCCTTTGAAAGCTCCCACATTCTACTGCGAGAGCTCTGCCAGAAGCTGGAAGCGGAACTGAGCCTCCTGCACAGGGAGAGAGCCAAGGCCCTGAAGAAGCAATCGGAGGTCAGGGCTTGTTGGTCATTCACACCCCGCCTTGCTCCCACCACCTGGGAGAACTGTGCTTACGTTATTAATAGCTTTCATCACATTCACGCAGCTTGTTTTTGTTCCACTAAAATGTATAGGAGCTCATGCAGCGTTTTTTTTTATTATTATTATTATTTTCTAATCTTGTAGTTTTCTTTGGAGCTCTTCTGCTGTATTTTATGAGCGACTTGGGAGATTACAGCCACAGGATACTCAGGAACAAATGTGAACTGGAAAAGATAAATAGATAGACATTTAATACCTAGCAGAGGTCTTCCGAAAGCGCCGATAAATTAACACCTTAAGTATTCCCATTCTTCCTAAATAATATCTTGCCGTTTCGTCCTGCAAAGAATGAAAAGAATGCCTTCCTGATTTATTATCTGTTCTAAATGTAATACCTGGAGCTGTTGATCCCCAGTTAGAGTTTAACAAACCTAAACAATTTGACAAATTCCATCCAAACATTTTTAGGAAACCTATCTGCAAAAAATAAATCAACCTTAAATAAAACAAGCCCTGTGTGGCCTCTAGAGTACTATGCTTATGTTTCATCTCCTCACTGGCTGCTACTCTCATCCATAACATGTAATTCATCCTTTTTCATATTTACCTAAGGAGACGCTAAGAGGAACGCAGCGATAATATTTGGTTAATGCGAGCTCATTTTAGTTAAAAACCAGATTATATCGATTCTTGCTTTTGTAAACATTCTGCTTCAGTACTGTTTTAGAGCAGTTACTGTTACATAATGTCAAATTATAATAATATCTGCCTAAACATAACTGAAATAATTATTGGCCGCTTGGAAAAAAAAAATTCAACTTAGAAAAGTTTTTGTGGTTTTGTTCACATAACGAACAAAGCTATTGTTCTCGAGTCTGTGAATGTAGTCCGAGAAAATAGCAGAAGATGTACAACATTTTTATTTCTCCACAATAAATAAAGTTTCCCAGTGAAAAAAAAAAACAAACACATTTACAGATGTGGACAAATTTGTTGGCAGACCAAAAGTCTTCCAATAAATTCAGATTTCATTGCAGTGACATAATCTCCACAATAAAAGTCTAATACAGATCTAAGAGAATAAACTACAATACAGGGAACAGGATACAAGAAATAAACACAATGGCAGCAACTTTCCAACAATAAAGAACACAGGGAAATTAACTTAATATGGTCAAATCTTTCAAACGTAAATAAGGAAGAAAGAAAGAAAAACAAACAAACAACAAAGACTCATGACAAATTTTTTGGTTTGCATATATAGCAAAGGGATACATCATCATTTGAAGCCTACACATGCAGAGCATTAATGTTCAGAACTCTGCATTCTACCACACAACTTTATGAGGACTCCCCACGATCAATAAAATCTGCTACTTGGAAACATGTCGGTTTATCCTTCACCTTCAGAAACGATGACAAGAGAGGGGTAAACCAAACTAAAGCAATACAGGCACTTTTTTTTCAGCAGCAATAAGGAATTTAGTTCACTCCATAATTTTCTAATTACTTACATGAAAAACAATAAAGCAGGGCTGTAGCATTCGCCCTGCCCCAAATGCCATGGGAGACTTTAAAGCAGCAAACAATACACTGTCACTGTCCACCGTTGAGAGAGGCTTCCCCAGTGAGAGATGTTTCCACACCTGAAAATGTTTTTATTATCAATTTCCAAACAAGGACAGTGATGGTTTCTGGTGGTTATACGACTCTCAAATCAAATCAAATCTCTGGACAATTCTGAAATGGGCCACCTTTTGAAATATTAGAACATATTGATTAATTATTTAACAGTAGAGAGCCAGGGGACAAAGAAGTAAAAACCCCAATATTTTTTAGATATTTTGTTTACTTCTTTAAGGACAAGCAGGCACAGACAATGGATGAATGGATAGATATTTAGATATGTACTGAATGCTACTGAACCTTATGTTTGAACACAGGGTTACACCTCTGTTGTACCCAACAGGGGTGTAACCATCATCCTAGAAGTGAGCGGAACAAATTTTTTAGAGGTCTATTGAGTGATTTATCATCCTCTCGCATTCAGTCGCACCACTCCTTAGTGGCTAAAAATACACATAATCACTAACAGTCACGGAATAGCACCAGCGGACCGACTTTAATTCTTTAAACTAAATACTAACAAAGGCTAAACTTTTTGGGCAAGTTACTACATCATTAAGTGTTAAATGGTAGTACGAAACATGAATGTTCAATAAAACGCTATTCGTGTAAGCAAATTATTACACAAAATGGAAATGACAAATCAGCAGGAAGTTAAGTCACAACGAAAATGAAATTAATAATTATAAACCACTTATGGCCTTCTTCCATATACTACCTACAGCTTAGGCTAAAATATTTTGGAGTGTGAATGAGAGTAATTCTGAAATATCTGCCTGGTTTCTCTCTGCAATAGATATCTTTTTGTCACCAAGTTAGGGTCTCTCCTGAATCACTGTCCCTGCTGCTGGCCTCTGGTCTAACATCGCCTCCTTCATTTTGTTCTTTTTGTGATGAGTGTGATGAGAAAGATTTCTTGTAAACATAGGAAAGCAACAGTGAGCATGACTAATGTACAGTGATTATAGGTGGGTTTATCACTACCATTACTAACTAGCAAGAGATGTAACATGGGTAGCAACATCAGTACTCTTGTTAACTAGCTTACTTTGATATATTGGCATGGAAAGCTACAGCATGTTAACAGGTTAAACAAAGACAGTAAACGATGTATGGGCAACATGTCCGGCACATGCATAGCCCCGTAATGCCTATTGGCACCCACCCATAACTTTTGGGTAACTTTCCAATTCTAATCTTTAACAGGGACGCTAACAGGCTTAATGCCACTTAAAGGAAACTTCATGAGAGGGTAATTCTCTCCTGTTCTGTTTATGAAAGCAGAGAAACTGTTGGAGGATGGCAAAGCAATTCCTTGTTGCTCTTAATTGTTGTTGCTCGACAGATCTGTGTCACCATATTTTAAATTACATTTAGAAAAAGTCAAACTCTTAAAGCTGCAGTATGTAACTTTTATATATATAAAAAATATTCCTTTACATATTTGTTGAAACTTTCACTATGTCATGATAGTATGATGTGGGATAGATAATCTGCAAAATAAATAAATAAATAAAACCCCTAGAAACTACAAACAACCAATGAGAGCTAGGAGGCGGGTCTTAGCAGTGTTAATCAGCCCTCTGTGTGGCGCTGCTCATCCGCCCTCTCCTTCAGCCTTGCTCTTTGTCACACTGCAGCTTGCACAGCCTGTCAGGAATCCTCAGGCTAGTTAGCATAACCACTGATGACTGCAGGTAAACAATTTTCCTGTAATTTTAAGTTGTTTCTTCTCTATTACCACATTTAGCAGCGAGTACATGAGGTTGACTGACAACACTACAACCGTCCTCTCAGTTTTGATTGGCTGTTTTTGGTCAAGTTGACTCGGGAGTGGTGCATTTTGACAGGCGACAATAGCATGTCAGGGAGGAATTGGAGGAGATCAGTCTTTTCACAAAGGAACTGCCTCATAAACATATTGTCACATATGGGATCAGTTTTAACAAATATGTGAAAAAAATACATACTTCACCTTTAATTCTCACTTTTGGCTCCCTTTAGCGAAATGCCAAGCTTGATGTCAATTTTTGAAAATTGACCTTAAAATGTCTTGAGATTTGAGGATCGATTTCTAAACCTTGTGTCTTCCGTTTTGCAATGCATGGAGCTGTGTACTGTTGCATGTGAAAGAAGTTTGTTTGATTTAGTTTCTGTTTGTGAATGTCCATGTTCAGGTCAACAGGCAGATGCAGACTTTACAAGAGGAGCTGTGTGCATGCAGGAAGGAGCTAGAAGAAAAGACCACCGCTGCAAAGACAGCTGCCGAACATAGGGCGGCACTTGCCAAGGACAAGGCTGCTCTGGAAGTGGAACTAAACTCTGCCGATCGAAAAGCCTGTACTCTCAAACAGGAGCTTGTTGCACTGAGGTCTGTGTACGTCTGTGTGTTCTTGGGGTACATATACTTTTTCGTTGTCTGTCATTTTGACTGTCAGGGTAAAGAATTCCGTCATTTTTACCTGTTATTTTTAATGATGACTTATTCAGCTGCATCTAATTTTCATTCGTTTAATTATTATTCAACAAACTGAGCGGAGGATCCACATCGTCCCATCACACATCAAGCAGATGAATGCTCGTACATATAAACACCTGCTATAGTCGTAACACACACCTTCAGCTGGATCTGAATTGTGCAACAGGCAGATGCACGTAATCAAATGTCTCCAGGTTTTGATGTTGATCTGGAGGTTGAATCTGCACTCTGGTACTAGACACTGGTATTACATTTCTCCAATTGAAGAAATGTAATACCAGAAATGATTAGAAGTAACACCGTTAGCTGGAAATAGGCACCAGCTCCCCTCCCGACCCCACTAAGAGACAAGGGTGTAGAGAAAATGGATGGATATATATATATATATATATATATATATATATATATATATATATATATGAAGTCAGGCAGGCATACATTGGCATGAATCAATGTAGGTTCATACCTTGACTTCTCAGTCCTTAAGTGTGTGTGTGAGTTGAGTTAAGTAAAACCAAATGGCATTGTATATTTTAAGGCAATCTGACCTAAAGTGAATTTGGATTTCTAAAGCAGAGTCTCGTGTAACAAGAGTCTACAAGTAAACTAGTTTTATTGGAAGCTGTGTTTGAGGTGGATTATTGGATTTTATGATCTTCTCCACCTTGAGTTTCAAAGGTCCTGGTTTTTTTCAGAGCTCAGTGCCTTTTTATTGCTTTGTTCCAGAGCAGAGAAGAAATCCCTGGAGGCAACTATATTCGAGAGCCAGGAGCTCTCCGCGTCCCTGGAGGCCAAGCTCACCAGGCTGGAGGGCGAGAGATCCAGCTTGAGTCTGGCTAACGAGGCCCTGACGCGTGAGTGGCCCCTTCCCCCAGAGGTCTCACTGTTTTCTATGCCAAGCCCCTTGGCCATGAAGCTTTTCCAGCCATCCACCAGAGATCCATATTTCAGCCCTGAGATCTGCAACAGCTGGGCTGCAGTATCACTGAAGCTGCTTTCTCAGCTGACCCTGGTCTCTCTGCTACATGCAAACACACATGGATCAGATAAATAGTGCTCAGCTTCAATGTTCCGGGTAAACCCATGGCTGAACATGGGCTGCATATGCAACTCCCCAAAAACATGTTAATAATAACACTTTAACATCTCTTCATGATGTACAACTCAGTATTTCATTACTGGCCCGGGGTTCACGCATTTATACGCATTTATTTCTTTGTGCAGGTGACGCTGCTCAGATGCGTGCAGATGCTGAACAACAGCTACAACAAGCTGCAAAACAACAAAGACTGTTGGAGGAAAAGCTGACTGAGGTGGAAAGAAATGCCCTTTTGATGCGGAACAATACAGAGCAAATTCACAGAGAGCAGCTGGAAGCCGAACATAAGCAAACGGTAAATCATCAGCCTGAGGACCATGTTGCGGCACCTGGTGCAGCACCTGGCTAGTAAACAATTTTAATTTATGTGCACACATAATCAGCATTGGTTACAGCAGCCTGCATTTATGTCATTATGATGACAGTCGGACATTAAACATTAAAAGGTCTAACCTGCCTTCAGTTCTTGTTTACTCCTCTCCATTTGTTGGCATGTGTTCCCACATAAACTCACAATGGCTTTAAAAATAACACCAGCGACTTTGTTGTCATGGGCATTCGCATATTGAAGATATTGTTTCCAGATTGGAACCGAAGTGCGTGTCGATGTTTGACGTTTTAACAGGAGCAGCAGTTTGCAGAGCTCGCTGTCCAACAGCAGCAGACTGAAGAGCAGTTACGCGTGCAGTGCGAGGAGCTGCGTGCGCACAACCAGAGGGCGCTGCAGCAGGTGCAGGATGAGTTGGCAAAGCTGCAAAAGGAGTTCAGCCAAAGGCTCCTACAGGCTGAAAACAAAAAGCAACAGGTGTTTCCTATTTAAAAATACATTTGTCTTTGTTCAAGTATTTTCGGATATGTTAAAGAATTATCCTATATGACATGCAGTTGTATTTTAAAACTGACAGTCAGTGGAATACTGTCCAGTGTTCTACAGGACATTATTTTATTGCTATTCTCTCGTAAAACACTTACTGTATCAAATCTCAAGGAAGGTTTATCTAAACTTGCCAGTTCCCTGTGCGCAAAATATTTTATTGAGATGTTGGAGACCACAACCAACAGGGGTGCATTTGTGAAGTGGAAATAAAAAATTTAATGGATTTAATAATAATTATTATTATTAGTATAAGATATATAAAGTAACTTATAAATACAGCAGAGAAGAACAGAAGAAACCAGAAATTATGAGAATGCAAACATAAATAAAAACAAGAATACAATCATGTATAAATCACGGCACCAGACCTGCTACAAACATCTCCATAACGTTACTCTTGAAAGTGTTTGCAATATTTCTTGTTGTGACAATATGTTTTGTCACTTATTCTCTCAAGCAAACCTCTGAGGATGAAGGGTTGTATACAAATGCAGGTCACACTTATAGCTGCAGTATGCAACTTTCATAAAATAATATTTACATGTGTGTTAAAACTGCTACCATGTCATAATGCCAAAGGATAAGCGTGAGAAAGCCATGGTTAAACTGACCTATTATTGTCTGAAGAAGTGCAGCCCTTCTGACTAAAAACAACCAATCTGAGCCAGGAGACTATCTTTAGTACTGTCAGTCAACCTTGTGTACATGATGCTTAATATGCTAATGGCGGAGAAACAACTTACAGTTACAGAAAATATGTTTATCTGCCGACCTCTGTGGCTTTGCTAACTAGCAAGGTGACTGACAGCGCTAAGATCCTCAAAGTATGTTTCAGCAAATATGTAAAAAAAAAATCTTTATTTATAAAAGTTACAGGCTGCAGCTTTAATGTTCTCCTTCATAGCCTATCATTTGTGGTAAAAGTGACCTTTTCTTCCACTTCACAACTACCCATTAGAGAAAAGTAAAAGGATCAGAAAACTTGGGCAAGTCACTATCGGCCCAAGAACATCCAGCTTTGTTTGCCACTGACTATATATTAATCTGACCTCATAGTTTGTTGTGTCCAGGCTTTGTTCCAGCAGGAAGCTGAGAAAGCTGCCCTTACAGAAAAAATAGCATCCCTCCAACAGGATCTGGCTACAGCCACCATGGAGACGGAGCGTATGCAGAGGGAAGCGCTTAGCAGACAAGAGCTGGACAAGGTAAAAGTATGTCAGGGCTGCACGCTCCCAGTTTAGTTCTGTTGTGAGGTGAATTCATTAATTTGCGTCTTTTTATGTTGCAGAATGCAGTAGTTGTTAGGTGTGAGCTGAAGGACTTACAACATAAGTTTGAAGAATCCCTGGCCTCTCATCAGAGTACTAGGAAAAGTTTCATGGAGAACATCAGAGAACTCAACCAACAGAAAGAACAAGCAAAACAGGAGGTTTAAGTCATTTTAATATTTATTTTATCATTTGAAGTATCAAGACTGGGCATTTTCCTGTAGAGAGCCTTGTATGTAAAACAGCGGTGCTCAATATGTCAATCGCAATTTACCAGTCAATCGCAAATCTAGTGTGGGTAGATTGCCTGACATTAAAAAAGAAGATGTCAGCCTGTCACTTGATTAATATACAGGGAGGTCTTAGCAGATGGTGGCTCTAATGCTTCCTGTACCTTATAATAGCAGTTTGCTAACCGCTATTATAACAAAGAAGAATAAGAACAGACTTTTTCTCATGTTTAGGTCACTGCGCATGCGCAAACAACAGCGCCAAGTGCAGCTAAACTAGCTAGATAGCGAGTTACCTCTTAAGAAACAGTAACATACAGTAACAACAGTGAGGAAGGTGGGCCAAGTACACAGCAAATTTGGAAGTGTTCCATCAACTCCTACAGAGTTAAATTCAACACTTTGAAAGTGTCTATATCGGTCCACTCTGGATGGTGTGGTGTAGAAGTTACACTTTTGAAACTGTTATTTGTGATAGAGTTGAATCAACACTCACAGTAGTTGAAATCAAACACACTTCAGTATTAATCTACCCAACACTAGTATATATTGTCAAAAGTTAACACTATGAACGTGTTAATCTAACACAGAATGGTGTAAAATATATATTAATATAGAAATCTGAGTTTTGAAATACTACCTCAGGGTGTGCTGTGGTGGTGCAGGGGTTAAGCACAACCCACATATGAAGACTTTAGTTTTCAATGTGGCTGTTGTGGGTTTGCTTCCCAGTCTTCCCCTTCTCTCATTACTCACTTTTTGTGTCAATTTACTACCAAATAAAAGCCACTAGAGCAATTAAAACCTTTTTTTCCCAGAAACTGTTGGCCATCAATAATCCCCAAATTCATTTTAAAAGACATTAGAAACCACTTGAATGTACAAAAACACCAACACCAGTTGCAGTATGTAATCTACTTTTATTTCAAAACAACATCAAACAGCACTGACAGCAATATACAACAAAGGTCATACATTCATGGTACTTTGCACTGAAGGTGAAGTGTGCTTTGAAAGTTCATTGGAAGCGGCCAATGAACTTTCACTGATGGTGAAGTGTCTTTGGTGCTGCTCTTATTTTCGCCAACATGAAGGAGGCAGACTTCCAGCCTGGAAGGAAAAACAAGAAATACAGCAGAAACTTTAGGATAACAAATAAATATTTTAAAAAGTAGTGTGAGCAAAACTAATCAGACTCACCTGTGTGTGTCACCATCATATTCATTCAAATTACTCTGCCCACCCTGTTTACAAGATAAAGCATTAAAAAGTCAGAAATAATTACTAAAGAAATTAGTCAGCTTTTAGAAATTTTTTTGGACAGCATTAAAAGTCGTGCCAACCTGTCTGAAGAAATGTGTTGGAGTCATAACAGTAGTGATGGGTCCAGCAACACCGATGCGCCGGCGCATGTGTCAAGCCCATAGACCAAAACCCGTGTTGGTGCACGCATTGGTTTCATCAAGTCACGTGGCTGATACAGGAACTGTTTCGAAATGATACTAGATGGCAAACTGTGTTTATAAGGAAGCGAATCTGTCAACGGGATGCATTTGCCAAAAGAATTCGTGATCTTTTTTGGTACAGTGTCAACTATGGAACAGCCTCCAAACAAACGAAAGGTTTCTGCAGTGTGGGACCATTTTGATCTTACATCGGAAGATAAGGTATTTATTTTCATTTTGTTGTTGTTTCAGCTGAAATTGACTCTTAATTTACTTTCATATTATGTTCTGCAGGTTAGGTGTCGCATATGTTTGACAGAATTGTCTTATGTAAATAAATCCACCTCCTCAATGTTGAGGCATTATAGGGCCAAACATGAGAATGAAGTCCCAGATACACCTAGAATAACTTCAGGTATACAGCCATTTTACAAATTACTCAGTTGCTTTTAATAAGTTATTTAATATAATGTATTGTTTACTTCATTTTTAACCATCAAGCTTCTAGGAAGCAAATGCTGGATGAGGCTCTACTGAATTTCATTGTGAAGGATTACCAGCCTCTCAGTATTGTGGAAAGTGAAGGGTTCAAGGCACTGGTTCAAGTCCTTGAACCTTCATATGGTTTGCCAATCAGAAAAGTTTGTGGGGAAATTATCTAAAGTATTAGTTTAAATTAAAAAAAATAATAATTTAATCTTTAATTTTAATATATTGATTTTGTTTTGGTTTCACTGATATAATTATCAGACCATCAAACAAATGGTGGCCAAAAAGTTTGAGGAGGAACAGGAACGAGTGAAAATGGAAGTACAGCAAGCTGTGGCAGTGAGTATAACGGCTGACATGTGGACATCTGTGAACATGGAGGCTTATTTGGCTCTTACCTGTCACTACATTAATGAAAATCTGCAGTTGTGTACATCTGTATTAGGAGTAAAATACTTTCCACAAAGTCACACTGCTGACAATTTGGCCCAAGTCACAAGAGACATAATGGAGGACTGGACCATAACCAATAAAGTAAGGTGTCTTGTGACTGATGCAGCTCCAAACATGATCGCATCCGCTAGGCAGCTAGTAATTTGGCACTCGATTTGCATTGCACATACTCTCAATTTATTAGTTAGAAAATCATGTGATCAGATCCCCACACTTACATCCATCAGACAGAAATCTAGGCACATTGTCACATACTTCAGATCAAGCACTACAGCCAAGGAGAAGCTTGCTCAAGTGCAACAACAGATGGGACGACCAATCCTGAAACTTATCAATGAGGTGCCAACACGCTGGAACAGCACATATGAAATGCAGTCAAGGCTACATGATGAGAGGGAACCAGTGTGGTTATCTCTGACCTCTCTAAAAGGAGATTTGACTCCACTTACAGCTGATGAGCATAGCATCATAGGAGAAACACTTCTTGTGCTTGCTCCTTTCCATCAAGCTACAGTGGAGTTGTCTGAAGAGAGGCGAGTGTCAGGATCCAAGGTCATCCCAATGATGAAAATGCTCTATCTTGCACTAGAGAGTAATGCATCAACCTTGCACACACAGCCAGCCATAACCTACATGAAAAACTGAAGCGTCGAGTCACAGACACTGCTTCCAATCTGGAGTCAAAAAGTGTGTTGGCCCTAGCAACACTTCTAGATCCCAGATTTAAATCACTTGGGTTCCGCAGTTCCTCCAAATGCAATGAGGCCATCAGTAGACTGCGGTCAGAATGTGCGTCTATTATCGGACACTCAAATGAGCCCCAGCCAGGACCATCTTCACAACAGCTATCTGCACCCAACTCAGGCATGTTATTGAGCATTATTTGTTGTTTGTTTGGACAAGATGTACTAAAATGTCAATTTGTTGTTTTTAGATAACCTTTGGCACCATCTTGACACCAAAGTAGGCAGGCTGACCAAAAGTGCCACAGCTGATGCCATCCAGGAGGTGCAGAGATATCTTGCAGAGGGCAATATTGCCAGATGTCAGGATCCAATGACATACTGGCAGAACCACAAGACAATTTATCCTAACCTCTTCCGGTTGTCATTGCAATACCTTTGCACTTCAGCCTCATCTGTGACATGTGAGAGGGTGTTTTCCAAAGCAGAAGTTGTGTCAAAAAAGCGTAATAGACTGAATTTCAAAACGTTGGAAAAACTTATTTTTTTGAATAAAAATGTGTGAAAAAACTCCAGTCCACGAGCATCCTCATTCCAAACACATTCACTTAAATTTTCACTTTATTGTACATATCCACATTATTTATTGACTGTATCTAAGAATATCAGATATTTTAAATTTCACTTAAGATATGAAATAATACAGTGTACAATAAAATCCAATGACAAATCTTATTGTCATAAAATTCTAAGTCATCAAATTAGTCTAACTACATTGCCTGTAGGCAGGGGCGCAACTACATATTATTCAGGTGGATGCAAAAACATAAAACGCCCCCCCCCCCCCCCCAAAAAGGGGGGAGGAAGGGGGAAAAGGGGGAAAAAAAAAACGGGCGCCCTATCCGTATG